CCCCTGTAGTTTGTGTAAAGTACCCTAGAACAGCCCATCCCAGGATATGTGAAAGTTTGAGACATACCAATTTCATATTTTTCAAAAGTTGATGCTAAACCTATAGCTAATTTTAGAGCCTTTCAGCAGATCATGATTGCAAATTACCCCTCAAGGCCAAATCCATTTTTAAATGTAGGCAGCTCATCAGTTCAGATTATGAACAAGAGCATATTATTTGCTGTGAAAGGAGGAATATTTGGCTAAAAAAACATTAGAGGGTACTGGGCATGATACTGCTAGGAGTAAATATTAATCTGGATGACAATCTCCCCTAAAATATCATCCACAGGAACAGCTGCATAAACTCCAGTGGGCTATCAGTCTGTATTACAGGAACTTTAGTGAAGACCATGATATTGGCAGGGCTCGAATCCTGCAGGAACGCATGCCCTGCTACCTGCACACAGGGGCCCAGCACACTGTGTTCCCTCTCCAGCTGCTCTGTGTCTCACATTTGCGAGTCCCTCCGCCGTCACAGCGTTGCCATGGGTCACCATGGCAACGCTCCGTACAGCACGCAGGAGAGTCTCGCAAGAGTTTGAGCTGGAGAGGGAACGCAGAGTGTGCTGGGCCCCCGTGTGCAGCAGCTGGCTCTCTCCACCATACCACCGGACCACCAGGGAATGTGATCTCCCCCCTCCCTGACAAGGTAAGAAGCAGGGAGGGGGAATAAAATAAAAAATATACACATTGAAAAAAAAAATCCTTCCTCCCCCCCAACACACACACACAGACACACACACTACATGCATTATACACACACTGCACTCACTACATACACTATACACAATCTGCACTTGCTACAAACACACTACATTCATTATACACACTGCACTCACTACACACACACTACATTCACTATACACACTCTGCACTCACTACACACACTACATTCACTATACACACACACACTCTGCACTCACTACAAACATACTACATTCACTATGCACACACTACAAACACACTAGATTAATTATACACACTCTGCATTCACTACAAACACTACATTCATTATTTACACTCTGTACTCGCTACAAACACACTACATTCATTATACATACTCTGCATTCCCTACAAACACACTACATTCATAATACACGCACTGCACTATATGAATAGGAGTGTAATTTTTTGTTTGTTTTTAGTGTGGGGGTTGGGGAGGGAATCTTGGGTGAGTTCCCACACTTTCTTCACCAGGGCTTGATCCCTGGATATTGGGATAAAATCATTGGGGAGTACAGTCATCTGCAACAGGGGAATCAACCTTGTGGGCCTGCAGTATCAGGCAAACAGTCGCAATCACCTCTGTCACTTTTTAAAGTTCTGTCTGTTGGCTATAAGTGGGCTGTAACTTCTAAAAGGCTCCTCAGCAGTAAGCAAAGCATAGCTGAAAAAAACCCCTATAATATCAACTGTAATAGAGCTTTCTGTACCCCAGTTGGGTACCTCCGCCGACGGGTGCTCCTAGTGCTCACCGAGGACTCCAAGCTCTCCACCAGACACCATCAGCACCGCAGTCCCCATGTCCAGCGTTACAGCTTGGCTAAAAACTCGCCGTCTCCTACCCACCCTGGACCTACAACAAGGCTCCAATGGGTGAACCTCTCTTCCTCCAGAGAGTCAAGCAGGAACAGCTCTTAAAAGCTTAGTGATTATAATCCCTGGGGAGTATAGTGATATAGCAATCTCCAGGGTAGATGCAGCTTTTTACCCCACACATGAGACGAGACTCTATGTTGAGGGTAAAACAGGAACTCAATTTTAATGGAGGCACACTGGCCTTTTATGCAAGTTTCCCAACAAGGGTGACACCCAGATGGACCTTGTTGGGCACAGGGACACAAAGTGTACATGCCAATAAAAACAATGTGACAATGAAAAACACTCCCACATACAGTACACAATCCCTCCTCTCTGCCTGTGATATAATTAAGGCAGATAATGCATTAACTTAAAGGGACACTATAATCACCCAGACCACTTCAGCTCAATGAAGTGGTCTGAGTACCAGGTCCCTCAGGTTTTAACCCTTCAGATGCAAACATAGCAGTTTCAGAGAAACTGCTATGTTTACATTTGGGGTTAAGCCAGCCTCTAGTGGCTGTCTTCCGGACAGCCACTAGAGGTGCATCTGCGACGCTGGAGGCATATTATGCCTCCATCGCGCAGAGCGTCCATAGGAAAGCATTGAGAAATGAATGCGTGACGCTATGAATGCGTGCGCGGCAATTGCCACGCATGCGCATTCGGCTCCGCTGATGTCGGACGGGGGAGCTGACATTGGCGGGGGAAGACAGTTCCCTAGCGCAGAGGCCCGGCGCTGGAATAAGGTAAGCTGCTGAAGGGGTTTTAACCTTCAGCGCCATGGTAGGGGGACCCTGAGGGTGGGGACATTGCACAGGGCCGGCCTTAGGGGTGGGCGAGCTGTGCGCCCTGTGGCCACTCACATATGGCCAGTGTCAGGCCGGCCCTGCATACCCCTCTCTGCTGCTTCCAATATCTCCTTCACATGCACCAGCTCCACTGCTTCAACAGGTACCCGAGTGGAGAATTTCATTATTCTCCACCCGGGTCTATTAAAACGTTCTTTTTTTTTTTTTTTTATCCTGGCAGTGGGGGCAGGGCTTAACGAACGGCGGGGCTTAACAGGCAGTCAGACAGACATGGCACGGTGTGTGTGTGTGTGTCACTGTCTGTCTGACTGCCTGTGTGTGTGTCACTGTCTGACTACCTGTGTGTGTGTGTGTGTGTGTGTGTGTGTGTGTGTATATATGTCTGTCTGTCTGACTGCCTCTGTGTGTGTGGCTGTCTCTGTGTGACTGCCTCCGTGTGTGTGAGGCTGTCTGTGTATGTGACTGTTTGCCTGCCTGTGTATGACAGTGTGCCTGTGTGTGTGACTATCTGCCTTTAACTGAGTGTGTGTGCCTATCAGCGTGTGTGAGTGTCTGCATGCCTGTGACCGATAGTGTATGACTTCTTGTAATGGAGTATGTGTGACTGTATGCCTGTAACTGTTTGTGATTGTGTGCCTGTAACTGTGTGACTGTCTGCCTTTAACTGTGTGTTTGGCTCTGTGACTGTCTGCCTGTAACTGAGCATGTGTGACTGTCTGCCTGTTACTGAGCATGTGTGACTGTCTGCCTGTAACTGAGCATGTGTGACTGTCTGCCTGTAACTGAGCATGTGTGACTGTCTGCCTGGAACTGAGCATGTGTGACTGTCTGCCTGGAACTGTGTGTATGTGACTGTCTGCTTGTAACTGTTTGTGTGACTGTCTGCCTGTGTGTGTGACTGTGTATAGGCAATACTTTCATTAGTCCTTGGCCTTATCTTATAGTTAGGATCGCCTTATGCCTATCCCACGCATGCTTAAACTCCTTTACTGTGTTAAACTCTACCACTTTAGCTGGAAGGCTATTCCATGCATCCACTACCCTCTGAGTAAAGTAATACTTCCTGATATTATTTTTAAACCTTTGTCTCTAACTTAACTGTACATTCCTCAATCTCCCACTAACTACCACCAACCCCAACTAAGGCCTTTATTTAATATTTTTCGATAAACTTATAAAATTATTAATTATTTTGATATAGTGATATCTTTTTTACATTGATATAGTTTTTATTCTCTACCATTTAGGAGTTAACCCCTTAAAGATAAAGACTAAATGAACTAATCGATTGATACCTGGGTCTACCGGGTGTGAGCATGGTTTTAAATTTTGCTCACACCAATACTTGCATGCAAATCCGTAAAATCAAATCCGTGGAGGACAGCCTGGAAACTCCTAATGTCATCGTTAAGGGGTTAAATCACGATTGTTTCTGTTTATGCTGCCCTAGCCAAGCCTCCCCTTGTAAGGGAAATTTTGAAACTCCTTTTCAATAAAGTAGAAAGACTGTGCAAATATCACCACGGGTGCTGGTTTAGGTGTGGATTAAAAGGAATATGGTTTGGACGAACTGACTGAAAAATATTTGCACAAATCTAGTAAAAATGATTTTACTCCAAAATTACTGAATGGTGAGATTGCAGTGGCATGATCTATACACCAAAACCACTTATGCTAAACCTGTTCAATAGATTCCTTTTAAATGCACTTACGCCAAGCACCATGACCACTTAAGTGATTTTAAGTGGTCATGATGCTTGGAGTCTATATGTGCATTTCGCTATTAAACCTCTGTAGTCAAAGGTGTAACTCCACTGAAAGCAGCATCATTGGTGAGTCATTAGCTAGCATGGAACAAAAGTTCTGGGCTGGCTAATGTAAATTTTGTAAACGTTTCTGTGCACAGATAGTCATTCATTGGCTGAGAGCACTTAGTTGACTCTCTCAGCCAGTGAATGTTTGACTGGATCAACATCTGAAACTCTGCAAAAACTGGATGTTGCAAGGCTGCTGCAGAAGAGACACAGTGCCCAATGAGACCCAGGTAAGCAAGCAAACATTTATCAAACAGTTTGCCCCAATTACTATCATAACAAGTAGAACAGACTGTAGTGGTTATGATGCTTAGACTATCCCTTAAAGTCATGTTTATGTCCTGATTTCTCCTTTCAATGGACCTTCCACTCTGCATCAAGCGTCACATATTCAGTTAGATTTTTCATTTTATATGGTCCGGTATGCTTTGGTGCTACAGGAACGATGCAAACAACCTATGCTTTATATATGTACATTATGATGAAAGCAGCTGTTATGTGGTTCTAGCTACCTTTATGCGTTCCTTGGCAGTTCTTTAAGAAGTGATCTTTAGAATTACAATACTAACATGATTGGTCTTGACCGGTGTGTTGTTTTTGTTTTAAAACCTTACCTTGTGGTCTGTTCATTTGGTGACAGGTGCACAAATTTACAGGTTATTTCTTAGTGCTCTATGTAATGACATGAAGGGGTGCTGCCCTGGAACAGCACTGTCACTTTAAATGCCAGGACACAAATGAATAGGGTAAATAGAGATATATATATATATATATATATATATATATATATATATATTTTACAGAGAACCAAAAGACAAAACAATATATATATACAATGCCACAAAATATATACAATAAATCAGAATAAGCACGAATCGTGCAGGCAACATATACTGAAACAGTCCTTTGGTATAAGGGCAGGATTGTGCAGTTACCACAAGTAGTAGATAGGGCACAGATCCAGAGTTATAAGACTAATATACTGACACCAAGAATCAAGGTCAGAAGCAGAATAAATGAACAAGGCTGCAGGGTCAGGATCACTGGTAATAAAGCAGAGAACACGGAACCAGAACACAGGATCGGAGGGCTCAGGAACGAATGACCAGGAGGATACAGTAACGCAGGATCAGGAGGACAAAGACCAGGAGGCGCAGGACACAGGACCAAGGAACAGTAAGCAGGATCAAGGAGCCAGGAGCCAGAATCACAGGGAACTCGGAACCGGGGAAACAGGAGACAAGAGACCATGATCTGGCCAGGAGTGAGGGGAGAAACCAAACTATATAGGTGGTAAACAAGGACCAGGTGAAGTGCTAACGAAAAGAAATTAGGAACAGTGCCAAACTAAGATAGTGGTAAATGTGGGTACTGCATAAGTCAAATCAACTAAGGAGTGTCGTGACACTCTAAACTGAACACTAAGGTTTTTTGCTGTAATGCACATACTGCATATATTGGGCATAAATATATGTGTTCTGTGTGCTTTTATTGTTGTTGATATGTATGTCACAGTGACATACCATTTAGTTAGATCTAATGTCCTGGAATTGTCTGACTTTTTGTATTGTTTTTATTTTAGCTCTCTGGGGAAACTGTTACACTCTCAGAAAATGTAGCATTTGTCTCAGAAGGAACAACAGGCCTGGTGACTTGGGAGGCAGCTCTTACATTGGCAGAATGGTCTATTGCACACATGGATATATTCAAAAACAGGTACCAAGTCTTTTTTCCCCTCTAATTATCATCTGCATTCTCGTAACTCTGCACACTAGTTTTAAGCATGGTATATTATACTGTGATATTTTTTTGTATCAAAGTTGCCTCATCCCAAACTGTTGCAATTGCATAAGTACTTATATATGCCATAGAATCAAAGCATAGGAATTTACATTTTAATGTTACCAAAACCAGTGAAAATCTATTACTTGTTGAATATTGCATAACCATCAACTGGAGAGGTAGAGCCTCATACAAGAAATTCCCCATTTTTTGTAGTATTACCTTTTCTTAGATGGTTGAACGTCATGGAGCTCTGTTACGTTTATAGGAGCGAAAGGAAATATTTGATATACAATACACTTTAGTTTTATGAAAATTATAGAGAAATGGGGAAATGATTATCGCATAGCTTTTTGTAATATTTATTTGTAACCACTGTATCTAAAGACAAATACAAATCTTAAAGGGACGCTATAGGCATCAAAACAACTTCAGCTTAAAGGACCACTATAGTGCCAGGAAAACATACTCTTTTTCCTGGCACTATAGTGCCCTGAGGGTGCCCCCACCCTCAGGGTCCCCCTCCCGCCCGGCTCTGGAAGGGGGAAAGGGGTAAAAACGTACCTTTTTCCAGCGCTGGGCGGGGAGCTCTCCTCCTCTGATCCTCCTCTTCTCCTCCCCGTCGGCTGAATGCACACGCGCGGCAAGAGCTGCGCGCGCATTCAGCCGGTCACATAGGAAAGCATTCATAATGCTTTCCTATGGACGCTGGCGTGCTCTCACTGAAAATCACAGTGAGAAGCACACAAGCGCCTCTAGCAGCTGTCAATGAGACAGCCACTAGAGGAAATAGGGGAAGTCTTAACCCATTCATAAACATAGCAGTTTCTCTGAAACTATGTTTATGAAAAAATGGGTTAACCCTAGCTGGACCAGGCACCCAGACCACTTCATTAAGCTGAAGTGGTCTGGGTGCCTAGAGTGGTCCTTTAAAGGATCACTATAGGGTCAGGAACACAAGCATGTATTCCTGACCCTATTGTGTTAAAACCATCAACTAACCACCCTGGGCCCCTCATGCATCATAAATGTAGTAAAAATCTTACTGTATTCAAGCCAGAATCTGTAACTCTGCATGCTGTTAGACTCAGAAAAACAGGGAGTGTGCTGACATAATCAGAAGTGGTAGCCTGATCCAATCACAATGCTTCGCCATAAGATTGGCTGAGACTGACAAGGAGGCAGATCAGAGGCAGAGCCAGCATGATTCAAACACAGCCCTGGTCAATCTCCTCATAAAGATGAATTGAATCAATGAATCTCTATGAGGAAAGTTCAGTGTTTGTATATAGAGGGAGGAGATACTGAATGTTTGGATGCATTTTAGGCAGCCATGACCCAGGAAGGATCTCTAACAGCCATCTAAGGAGTGGCCAGTGAAGTTATCACTAGGCTGTAATGTAAACACTGCATTTTCTCTGAAAAGACAGTGTTTACAGCAAAAAGCCTGAAGGTAATGATTCTACTCACCAAAACAAATTAAATAAGCTGTAGTTGTTCTGGTGACTATAGTGTCTCTTTATCTAAGAATAAGAGATTTTCTTCATAAGACAACTATAATTAAGATTTCACCCTTCGACAAGATTCTCTTTGGAGAGGCTAAAAATAAATCCTCAATAGTAAGAAGATCGTTGGAGATATTAAACCAGGAGTTAAACATAATACTATCTCTAGATGGGAAATTGAGTTAAATAAATCTTTTTCCTGTCAAGACTGGTTAAATTCATTTGAAACATTAAGGAAAACGATCCATTGTATAAATATATTATACAAATCTTAAAGGGACGCTATAGGCATCAAAACAACTTCAGCTTAAAGGACCACTATAGTGCCAGGAAAACATACTCGTTTTCCTGGCACTATAGTGCCCTGAGGGTGCCCCCACCCTCAGGGTCCCCCTCCCGCCCGGCTCTGGAAGGAGGAAAGGGGTAAAAACGTACCTTTTTCCAGCGCTGGGCGGAGAGCTCTCCTCCTCCGATCCTCCTCTTCTCCTCCCCGTCGGCTGAATGCGCACGCGCGGCAAGAGCTGCGCGCGCATTCAGCCGGTCACATAGGAAAGCATTCATAATGCTTTCCTATGGACGCTGGCGTGCTCTCACTGTGAAAATCACAGTGAGAAGCACACAAGCGCCTCTAGCAGCTGTCAATGAGACAGCCACTAGAGGAAATAGGGGAAGTCTTAACCCATTCATAAACATAGCAGTTTCTCTGAAACTATGTTTATGAAAAAATGGGTTAACCCTAGCTGGACCAGGCACCCAGACCACTTCATTAAGCTGAAGTGGTCTGGGTGCCTAGAGTGGTCCTTTAAAGGATCACTATAGGGTCAGGAACACAAGCATGTATTCCTGACCCTATTGTGTTAAAACCATCAACTAACCACCCTGGGCCCCTCATGCATCATAAATGTAGTAAAAATCTTACTGTATTCAAGACAGAATCTGTAACTCTGCATGCTGTTAGACTCAGAAAAACAGGGAGTGTGCTGACATAATCAGAAGTGGTAGCCTGATCCAATCACAATGCTTCGCCATAAGATTGGCTGAGACTGACAAGGAGGCAGATCAGAGGCAGAGCCAGCATGATTCAAACACAGCCCTGGTCAATCTCCTCATAAAGATGAATTGAATCAATGAATCTCTATGAGGAAAGTTCAGTGTTTGTATATAGAGGGAGGAGATACTGAATGTTTGGATGCATTTTAGGCAGCCATGACCCAGGAAGGATCTCTAACAGCCATCTAAGGAGTGGCCAGTGAAGTTATCACTAGGCTGTAATGTAAACACTGCATTTTCTCTGAAAAGACAGTGTTTACAGCAAAAAGCCTGAAGGTAATGATTCTACTCACCAAAACAAATTAAATAAGCTGTAGTTGTTCTGGTGACTATAGTGTCTCTTTATCTAAGAATAAGAGATTTTCTTCATAAGACAACTATAATTAAGATTTCACCCTTCGACAAGATTCTCTTTGGAGAGGCTAAAAATAAATCCTCAATAGTAAGAAGATCGTTGGAGATATTAAACCAGGAGTTAAACATAATACTATCTCTAGATGGGAAATTGAGTTAAATAAATCTTTTTCCTGTCAAGACTGGTTAAATTCATTTGAAACATTAAGGAAAACGATCCATTGTATAAATATTTCTCAAACTTATCCATAGATGGTATATGGTCCCTACGAAAACATGTAAATTTCATACAAATTCCTCAAATGTCTGTTGGCATTGTAATAACGAGTGTGCAAGAAAAAAAAGGTATAAACAATATACCAGCAAGTGGAGCGCTATATTGAATATATATATATATAAATAATGAGGGGGTATACTCACCCCTCCAACATAGTGATACATTGTGTCCAAATGTACATACAAAGTAAAACAACAAAAAGAGAGAATATAGTGCAGATGGTTTACAAAAAAATAAAAAATGAATAATGGTAGCAATTGGTTGAAACCACTCACGTGGGTTGGAGCCTATAAGCTATTGGCTCTGTAAGTGACTCCTTCTTGCTCTTGAGGCAGCAACACACCCCTTTATCCCAAACGATATTCTCCCGAAGATATGGAACAAACAGAGAGAGAGAACCTCATAGATGGTATTGTACAGATGATGTATACAATATAGTGAGATAGTAATAGATATGCTCACCTTAGACAGAGCCTTGAATTCCTGGCTCTGAGGTTTGTTGGCAATGTGCTAATTTATTGGGATAGCATTCCCCACATGGTGTTCCTGGAGGCTAGAAAGGACTATATGGACTAATATATAAAAAAATAACAATTTATTGTAGAGATAAAAAAATAATAATAAAAACAATATTTAGACTTCTCAAAAGCACATAAGCTAAATGATGGAAAGTCCAAGTATAAAAGTCCAAACTCCAGCTAAACGCGTTTCACTCTTGTATGAGCTTCCTCAGTAGCTGTGAAGTAGCCTCAGGAATCTTCCACTTTATAAGTGCTCTAAAGTTGATTCGGATCCTCCCTTTGAGGTCACAGGATGTGTGATTATCCAATCATAAGGTCAGAGTCTCTTTCAAATTTCTTATATTAATCACCTGTAGTAAAAAAGCTTACATTGGCTAAATTGCCTGTCAATCAATCAAAAAGCTTGATTATTATTGGTGGTTGGATGGTGCTGTATTTTTCAAATTTCCTATATTGATCACCTGTGGTAAAAAAGCCTGCATTGGGGGGGCGTGGCTTAGCGGCGAATGAGAGCGGTCGCCTGATCTCGGAGCTCTCCCGCCGACGGGTGTTTACAGCGTGACTACACAGCATACAAGCACCGGCAAGAGCGGCAAACAAGCGGGCATACCCCCACCTCATAATGTCCACAAAGTCCGCCAAGAAATTCAAACAAAAGACCCTCCAAATGCAAGTAATAGCGTCGCCGAAGTGCGGACAGGAGGAACAAAATGGCGCCGACCAGCCCCAGTCCCCAGCCTCATGCTCAGAAGGCGGTGAGTTTACCCTCACTGCAGATGACATGCAAGCACCAGCCACAAATGCTTCACTACAGAACATGCTATCTGAATTAAAGCACACCTTCAAAACAGACCTGAAACAAATTGCTACAGATATCAGGGCTGACATTCAAGCTTTAGGTGAAAGAACAGCACGTCTGGAAGAGAGAGCAGAGGAAACTATAGAGGCCCATAATAGCCTAGCAGAGGCACACAACGACCTAATACAGAGAGTACAAAGCCTAGAAGCAAAAGTGGCAGACCATGAAGACCGGGACCGCCGCAACAATATTAGAATCCGGGGAATACCGGAATCAGTCGGCTCCCTAGATCTAACCCAATATGTAAAGGAAATATTTACAGCATACGTTCCAGCATTGAAAGAAACTGAGTTGCTGCTTGACCGCACACACCGCCTTCCAAGACCAAAGCACCTACCGACTACAGTACCGAGAGACGTCATAACGTGAATACACTATTTCACAACGAAAGATCGAATAATGCAAGCGTCTAGACGCCAAGGTCAGCTCCCAGGTCAATTTTCCCAAATCAAGCTATTTATTGACCTCTCCACTGCGACTATGATAAAAAGGCGATCGTTTACCCACATCACAGCGGCATTGAGAGCGGCGGAAGTACAGTATAAATGGGGCTTCCCGACCAAGTTACTAGTAAAACGCAACGGCGTAGACAACCTGATTCTTGATCCTGAATCCGGTAAAAGACAACTGTTGGAGTGGAACATCCCAATACCAAATGACCCCTTGCTAGCTACGGAGGATAGATCTGCAATCAAACTCCACACTGAATGGAAGAAACAACCACGTCCCAAGACTACACAAAGACAAGTCTAGCAGGATCAGAACTTCCAATCGTGTGCTGACCACACGGTACGCATACGGGACAGGTCGTATACAAAGACTATAATAGTACATGCTCCTTTCTTGCAAATTACCATGCCGGGCTAAAAGCCTACCTACACCCAGGGAGGGCGCCACTAAGGCCACCCAGAATTGCTATGATAATTTTTGTTGTTAAATCCTTGCAACTGATTTCAATAACCACCCCCAATGTGGCTACCGACCCAGAGCCACAAGAGAATCCGTTAGATTTGACACTGCACCGCAGAGGCGCAGTGAACGGAACGCTGTACATAGTTGATTATTGGTTCAGTTATTATATTGTTTTAACCCTTTTTAATTTTATAAGGCAAACCCCACAGACAGTATGTCCCGCATCCTTAACACCATCTGGCACCAACAGGTTAGCTATACAATTACCTCCCATTAGGGAACCTAATGTTGGAAGAGCACCCTGTCTCCCCCCGAGTAGCCACAGACTACACCACATGTCAGATGGTACTTAAAATATGCTCCCTAAATACTAAAAGGCTGAATTCCCCTCACAAGCGCCGCCTAGCACTGCGCGAAGCAAAATCATTAGGTGCCCACGTAATGCTCTTCCAAGAAACGCACTTCCAATGGGGTAACAGACCGAAGTTTAACTCCCCACAGTATCCCATAGATTTTCACTCATGTTACTCCAAAAAAAAAAGAGGAGTATCCATCCTTATTGGCAGAGATGTGGCCTTCTCCCTAATACGCAAAATAGGAGATAAAAAGGGAAGGTACCTTATATTGCAATGCTCCCTAAATAATAATGTCTATACCTTAATTAATGTCTATGGACCCAATGTTAACCAATGTAACTTTGTTGATGTACTGCTTGGTTTGATGTCTGCTCACGCACTTGGGGAAGTGATCATTGGGGGTGACACGAATTTCTTACTAGACAGTGACCTAGACTCATCAGGAGGTCCCCAATTGACTGCACAAACACTAAAGAGCAGGTCCAAACTAGCCACACTAATATGCAACAAACTAACACCGCACAATCTTGTAGACCCATGGAGAGTCACCCATCCCACAGAGAGGGACTACACATGCCACACAGCAGCGCATAAGACTTATTCGAGAATAGGATAGGTTTTTGATCCGCACCTCCTCCATCATAAAGGTTGAGCGCACAGACATAGGCCTTATTACATGGTCGGACCATGCCCCTATTACACTACAGCTTAGGGAACAATTCCCCAACTCAGGAAGAGGCAGTTGGAGACTCAATGAACAATTACTCGCTGACCCTGCCATAGTTAACCAAATAGAACAAGATCTACAGTTTTATTTTAAAGAAAACAAAACCCCAGACTCACCTCTACCCCAAATATGGATGGCGCATAAAGCTTTCATAAGAGGCAGCTTCATCAAGCACGCCAGCTACGCAAAAAAAAAGCGACTAGAAGCTTACACAGCCATACTTTCTGAACTAACCTCCCTAACTCACACCAACAAACACACCCCCACAGCAGCCACACATACCGAACTATTGCGCTTACAATCGCAGCTCAGAGATTTGGAACTGGCCAAAACCACATCCCTCATGCGCAAGTTTAAACACAGCTTTTTTGCTACAGGCAACAAAGCGGGAGCGCGGCTGGCTGCCCAATTGAAACAGAGGACGGCTAACTCAAAAATTGCCTCCATCAAGGATTCCAGGGGCACCTTAATTTTAAACCCACAGGGGATAGTGGACGAATTCGCCCATTATTATGAAAAATTATATAATCTGAAAGATGACCCACAGACAGTCTGCCCCTCTAAAGCAGATATTGACGCTTTCCTGGCAGGAATCGACCTTCCTACCCTATCTCAGATGGAGGCGGATCAACTTAACAAACCCTTCACGACCGAAGAGATCACCTCGGTGATCTCTACGCTCCCACTACATAAAGCACCGGGACCTGATGGCCTGCCCAATAAATATTACCGCACCTTCCTTAACACCCTAGCGCAACCTCTTGGCGCTCTATTTAACCACTGCATGACAGAAGGGGCATTGCCAGAAGAAGTCACAATGGCACATGTCTCCACACTTCCCAAACCGGGCAAAAATACAGATCAATGTAAAAACTTCAGGCCCATTTCATTGTTAAATAGTGATGCCAAAATCTACGCAAAACTATTTAGCGAAAGATTGGCACCGTTGCTACATAAATTAGTACATAATGACCAGTCCGGATTCGTGCGGGGCCGACAAGGCTCTGATAACTCGAGGAAAGTGCTAAACATAATAGCGGGAATGGAGAGGGGACAAATCGGAGGTCTTTTCCTGGCGCTGGACGCCGAAAAGGCCTTTGACAGACTTAACTGGCAATATATGACACAAGTGCTGTGCAAGTATCAGTTCCCCGAAGAGGTTATCAGGGGAATCCTGGCTCTATACGCACGACCCAGTGCTAAGGTCTCCCATGGGGGCTTCCTGTCACGCACTTTCCACATTACGAATGGGACACGCCAGGGTTGCCCACTATCCCCCCTGCTATACATACTCTCCCTGGAGCCCTTGGCTTGGAAGATAAGACAACACCAGGCCATAACCGGTATCACACTGGGGGACAGGGAATATTGTCTGGCGATGTTTGCGGACGATATTTTCGTGGCGCTTTCAAATCCAGAACAATCGCTGCCCCCTCTACTAACTCTACTGACAGACTATGGTAGAATATCATACTACCGCCTGAATAAGGAGAAAACACAAGCCCTACCGATAAACCTACCAGGGCCAAATGTAACTACCCTTAAGAACTCCTTTGAACTAGACTGGCGAACAACATCTATAACGTACTTAGGGGTTAAAATCGCCGCTCCTATTAGCAACATAGTAAAGCTTAATTATAAGCCCCTCATACATCTATGCACCACAGAAATACATAAATGGAAGAACGCAAAATTGTCCTGGCTGGGCCGAGTGAATGCATATAAGATGATGCTTTTGCCAAGGTTACTATATATATTCCGCATGCTCACAATAGACATCCAAGCCGCTATCCACAAATCGTTACAAGCCATATGCAACTCCTTCATCTGGGGGGGTAAGAAACCCAGGCTGCCCCTAGGTCTCCTACAACGGACGACCCAAACGGGGGGTATAGGCATGCCCAACATTGGACTCTATTACAAAGCCTCTATCCTAGCAACGAGTATACACATACACGCCCAAAAGGGGGTAACACAGTGGGTGGATATGGAACAAGACCAACTTAAGCACACCTCACTGCTTAATTACCTATGGACGCCGAGAACACTAAGAGGCCCCAAAGTAACTCTATACCCCACCACACTCGCAACGGTCAGAGTATGGGACGACTTTATGTCCTCCCTGGGCTGGAGGAAACACTTCCACCCTGAAGCTCCCCTTACTGCACTACATGCAGTGAATCCTACGATCCCACTAAACAGATGGTCACGCTTAGGTATATCCCAAATCCAACAACTGTGTACAGACCAGACGATCATGAGTTTCCCAGCCATCAGAGACAGATGGAAGGTCCCGGAGAGGGATATCTTTCCCTACTTACAACTGAAAAACACAATAAACACACACGTCAAGGGCACACCTCACACTGGGCCTACTCCTGCGGTAGCAGCGAGACTGATACCCCACAGATGCTGGACAGCCCCGATGAAACCCAAAGCCCTATCACTTTGCTACAAAGCATGGCTTGACCTAGCACCACAAAAACCGATGACATGCAAACAGCACTGGGAGACTGAGAGGGGGACAGTCATGACAGAGGAAAGGTGGATGCTGGCCCTAAATGGGATAAAAAAGTGGACCAAGTGCTACTCACATATTGAAGCGCATCGCAAACTACTATATAGGTGGTACATGACACCCACCAGACTACACAGAATGTACCCAGACGTTTCCACCAAATGTTGGAGATGCGGTGTGGAAGAGGGAACCCTGCCACACATATGGTGGCATTGTGGAGGGATACAACCTATCTGGGGAGATGTTCAGACCCTGTTGAAAGATCTCGGCATTAGAGACTTCCCCATGGACATAACGACCTGCCTACTCTTGTTGTTCCCCGAAACAACACAAAAAAACCACACACAATTGATAGGGATAGTTTTAATGGCCGCTAGAAACCTGATAGCTCTAAACTGGAAAACACCTCGCTGCCCAGCCATCCACCAATTGGCAGACAAAATACAACAATTCTATATATACGAGAAAATGTCCACTGACAACGCCAGGGCCACGGAAAGGTTCCAAAACACATGGAATATCTGGGAGACATGGTATGAGAGACAGAAACACCAGGGAGGGTGAGAGGGGAGAAGGGGACCCAGAAGAGTCAGGGCGGCCCAGGGAAACATGGACGGTGACTTATGTGAGCTGACATGGCCAAAGTACGCAGGAAATGCTGGATACAAACTATTATGATTTGCCTGTATATTTGTTTGTGTATATACCTTTGTTACGTTTATTTGAATTGTAATACCAACCCAATTGAAGAGTAATTGCAAACCAGCTTCGATAAAATGTTACATAGTACACGGAGGCAGATGATGTTACTGTATAACTTTAAAGTACAAATATATTATCCTGTAACCCGCTGAATACTCGTTGTATACACTATGAAACAACTGTGTACTGGATCTTTACCTTTGAAAAACCTTCAATAAAAAATAAATATTAAAAAAAAAAAGCTTGCATTGGCTGAATTGCCTGTCAATCAGTTAAAAAAACTTATTCTATTGGTGGTTGGATAGGGCTATCTTTCTCAAAATTTTTTATACTGATCACCTGTGGTAAAAAGGCTTTCATTGGCTGAATTGCCTGTCAATCAATTAAAAAACTTGATTAGAACAAATTCTATTGGTGATTGGATGGGGCTGTCATGTATAGCACCCATTCAGGGCAGTGGTTGGCGGAAGTGACATCACTTCCGCCCTCCAACATCTTCCCAAATGTCATTGTTAATAAAAAAATAAAAAAAACGGAATGCATATTAACAAAGTGAAATAGATAGGTACAATAACAGAGAGATTTCCCTCAAATATAAAATAAAAGGGATTACCAAAATGGGGGTCGATTAAAAACTTACTGGATGAGAGAGTGCAATCAAGACAAACTTCTCCCATTGGATTTCAAGACTTCATTTTATAAGAGGACATAAAACCAAATGGCATAAATTTTGATAGTACAGATATAATATTGCAGATGGTACAGATATAATATGATACTGTTGAATATATGTTAAGGATAATTAAAGGAAATGACAGAGTTCGAAATCTATATTTAGACCTTTGGGTTGTAAAGTCCCAAGGCTAAAAATCCATCTCATTTCATTTTGAGCTAAAATTTTGTTAAAATCACCGCCTCTCCGATTTCCTAAAGTTTTGTGTATGCCCATAAATATGAGCCCCTTTTTTTTTTTATTTTTATTTTTTTATTAACAATGACATTTGGGAAGATGTTGGAGGGCGGAAGTGATGTCACTTCCGCCAACCACTGCCCTGAATGGGTGCTATACATGACAGCCCCATCCAATCACCAATAGAATTTGTTCTAATCAAGTTTTTTAATTGATTGACAGGCAATTCAGCCAATGAAAGCCTTTTTACCACAGGTGATCAGTATAAAAAAATTTTGAGAAAGATAGCCCTATCCAACCACCAATAGAATAAGTTTTTTAACTGATTGACAGGCAATTCAGCCAATGCAAGCTTTTTTACCACAGGTGATCAATATAGGAAATTTGAAAAATACAGCACCATCCAACCACCAATAATAATCAAGCTTTTTGATTGATTGACAGGCAATTTAGCCAATGTAAGCTTTTTTACTACAGGTGATTAATATAAGAAATTTGAAAGAGACTCTGACCTTATGATTGGATAATCACACATCCTGTGACCTCAAAGGGAGGATCCGAATCAACTTTAGAGCACTTATAAAGTGGAAGATTCCTGAGGCTACTTCACAGCTACTGAGGAAGCTCATACAAGAGTGAAACGCGTTTAGCTGGAGTTTGGACTTTTATACTTGGACTTTCCATCATTTAGCTTATGTGCTTTTGAGAAGTCTAAATATTGTTTTTATTATTATTTTTTTATCTCTACAATAAATTGTTATTTTTTTATATATTAATCCATATAGTCCTTTCTAGCCTCCAGGAACACCATGTGGGGAATGCTATCCCAATAAATTAGCACATTGCCAACAAACCTCAGAGCCAGGAATTCAAGGCTCTGTCTAAGGTGAGCATATCTATTACTATCTCACTATATTGTATACACCATCTGTACAATACCATCTATGAGGTTCTCTCTCTCTGTTTGTTCCATATCTTCGGGAGAATATCGTTTGGGATAAAGGGGTGTGTTGCTGCCTCAAGAGCAAGAAGGAGTCACTTGCGGAGCCAATAGCTTATAGGCTCCAACCCACGTGAGTGGTTTCAACCAATTGCTACCATTATTCATTTTTTATTTTTTGTAAACCATCTGCACTATATTCTCTCTTTTTGTTGTTTTACTTTGTATGTACATTTGGACACATTGTATCACTATGTTGGAGGGGTGAGTATACCCCCTCATTATTTATATATATATCCAATATAGCGCTCCACTTGCTGGTATATTGTTTATACCTTTTTTTCTTGTATTTTGCATTTTCTTGTATTTTGCACTTCATTGTGGATTAAGGTATTCCACTTTTTGTGTTGAGCTGCTTTTATTCAGGCACTTTAGTATGTCATTCACTATCTCAGTAAGGGATAGTTTTTGTTTTCTTTGTGTGTAATAACGAGTGTGGCTCATTTAAACATATTTGGTGGGATTGTATTGGTTTGGACACCCTTAAATAAGAAGTTTCCAAACTTTTTGTTGATCTAAAATTTAATATTCCTTTATCCCCTGAAAGATTCTTATTCCACCTAGAATTGCCAAAAATGGATAAATCATCTCTGTACTTGACCATACATGTCTTGATGATTGTTAATTTCTGCATTGCCATAAAATGGAAACAGAATATATCTCCTTCTAAAAAGAAAAAAAGAATAGGTCCCTTAATTAACCATCCAACTAGGAGTGCCTTACCCTGATTGTAATAACAAAAAAATGGTTACCAAAAGAGGAACCCAAAATGTTGGATAATCTTATTAATTATAGAGCTTGAAATAAAATACCAGCAAAAGATAGGAAAAAAACCCAGAAATAACTATTAAAATTGTAGGAGCAATTAAGCACGTAAACTAAAAGGCCATGCCCTCACCTGTAACCAGTGCTAGGTACTTGATACTACTTGATATTTGTAAAACTTGTAAAAGCCTAATAAAAATGAAAAATAAAAAAAAGATTTTATATCCTGCTCTGTAAATTGAACTTGAACCACACACTGGAGGATGCAGCTCACTATTTACAGATAGTGTTTAGGAAGTCTCTTAATCCACATGCAGGTATATGCAACTAGTGCTATATTAACAAAATTATTTAACTCCTAAATGGCAGACAATTGAGCAGTGGGACTCCATGGGACACAATCTATACACCAAAATTACGCTTAAGTTGTTTTGGTGCCTATATCATCCCTTTAAAGTTAACATCCACCATATAAAGTCCACTAAATGGTTTTATTTTTAGTAGGGTAGGACATTTTAACAGTTTAATACAATATCATTTACAGGTCAATAATATGAAAATATTCCCTTTATGATGACATTAATGTATAACAAATATATACTAATTTTAATATAGTTTAGAAATAAATAATAATTTTCTTCATCTGCCCTTAAAGGACCACTATAGTGCCAGGAAAACATACTCGTTTTCCTGGCACTATAGTGCCCTGAGGGTGCCCCCACCCTCAGGGTCCCTCTCCCGCCCGGCTCTGGAAGGGGGAAAGGGGTTAAAACTTACCTTTTTCCAGCGCTGGGTGGAGAGCTCTCCTCCTCCGATCCTCCTCTTCTCCTCCCCGTTGGCTGAATGCGCACGCGCGGCAAGAGCTGCGCGCGCATTCAGCCGGTCACATAGGAAAGCATTCATAATGCTTTCCTATGGACGCTGGCGTGCTCTCACTGTGAAAATCACAGTGAGAAGCACGCAAGCGCCTCTAGCGGCTGTCAATGAGACAGCCGCTAGAGGAAATAGGGGAAGGCTTAACCCATTCATAAACATAGCAGTTTCTCTGAAACTGCTATGTTTATGAAAAAATGGGTTAACCCTAGCTGGACCTGGCACCCAGACCACTTCATTAAGCTGAAGTGGTCTGGGTGCCTAGAGTGGTCCTTTAAGGGGTGTCAGATGCGATATAGTTGGCAGTTTGAGGATTTAAAATTTCTATGATATCCTAGTACGGAATAGTTAATTTGAAACCTGCTCCCTTATCCAGATTAGCTGTTTTCTGCCTGCAGAAGTTCTTACAAATGACAAACCTTTGAGAAACAATCCTTTGACAAAAAAAAATCTTCATATAATAAAAAGGTGGGAGAATCCATGGACCTTTCCAATAAATTCCTTTTTCTAAACAGTGACTAGCCCATGATCTCTTTCAAATACATGCTGCCAGACCTGATATATTGTTAAAGGGACACTATAGTCACCAGAACAACTGCAGCTTAATGTATTTGTTCTCAAGAGTATAGCCTTTCCCTGCAGCCTTTTTGCAGTAAACAATGTATTTACAGAGAAAAGACAGTGTTTACATTGCATCCTAGAGACACTGATTGACCAGGGTGGTGTTTGGTTCCTCCATCAACACGCCTCCATGGCTGAGATCATCAGAATTGACTATCTCAACGGGAAAGCATTGTAATTGGCTAAGATCAGCACTGCTGATGATATCAGCCAAGGAAGCAAATCAGGGGCAGAACCAGCTCCAGCAGACTGTAATAAAGGTAAGATTTTACTATTCTGTATTTAGGTGGGGCAAGGGGGCTAGATACAAAAACATGTTTGTGTTTTTGACTCTATAGTGTTCTTTTAAGAATATGTTTCTAAATTCTGTGTAACATTTTCATTTCATTACATTTTTAGAACTATTTTAGAGCTGGGAAGTGGTGTTGGCCTCACTGGCATTGCAGTATGCAAGAGCTGTATTCCAAAGAAATATGTATTTAGTGACTGTCACCATCGAGTTTTGCAACAACTAACCGAAAACATCTGCTTGAATGGCTTCCAACTAAGTGAAGAACAAAAGTCCCAATCTAAAGAGCAAGTCCTTTCAGATACTGAACATGGGACATTTTCAGACAATGTTAAAATATCAGTTATTGAGCTTCATTGGGAATCTGTTACAGAAAAACAATTTTTACACATCCAAACTGATGTGGATGTAGTTATTGCGTCAGGTAACTATACACAGTAACAGTTTGATAATGTGTGTATGTGTCTGTGTACAATACCCAAGGATTCTGAACTTGACAACTATATGTAGAATACTTGCTGCCGTGCTAAATCCAGCCAAATAACTAAACAGCAAAATGGGAAAGCACTCAATGCATTTGTTTAAGCAGGAATAATAATGCTTTTTTGCATATTTAATCCATAGTCAAGGTTTCAGTCCCATGCATGGATTTTTCTCATAACATAAGGTACAATGACCACTTAATAAAGTCAAGAAAACAAAAATGGGGGTTGAATCTCTGAAATAGAGACTTGGTGATACGTGCATTGAGAAACATCTCCCAGTAATCCGGATAACCAGTAAACAGAAAAATACACCAGTGTGCAAAGATGAAAAAGAGAGCCATAGCCCCCGAAGAATAAATCTATGGAAAAACCCACACCATGCAAAGGATAGGTCGTCTTTGAGCATAGAAAATGTTTAGTTATTTTGATGAATAGATAAGTCCATAGAACCCACTTATCAATTTTGTCATTATTGGAGAGATACAAATTATCTTTGACCAAGAACCTTCAAGCACACAGGTTTTAGTGAACAAGGGGCATTGACCATCCCCAACATCAAAAATATGAGTATGTACATGTGTTAGGTAGAGTCTTTAAGTTCGAGGTTGCTAATTAATATGTAATGCATAGTGTCTTAATTAAGCATGTTTAAGCTAGGAGTTTCAAACTCTAACAGCCAAAGTCATACAACAGGACATGTGGCTATTGTTTTGGACATAAGACTAGAATAATATACGCTTTGGCAAAATATGCAATGATCGGGTGCACAATAGAACAAAAAATACTTGTGGCACATCATCAAGGACATCTGTCTGGAATACATAAACCTGGGTTTCCTCTTGGAACTGTTCAAAGGTTCATGGAAGCCATAAGATGGTAATGTCTGAGACAAGATGCAGTCAAGTAAGGAGCACTCACATGGGCTATCATACGTATATGTAAAAAATATACAGATTAAGGAACAGCGCACACATAAAAATACAGCTTTAAATTTTATTAGGCTACTTAAAATTGCCTATCTTAGCAAACAAATGCGTGGATTTAGTTACTGCCCACATACCAGACACTCCTTTCTGCTTTAAATCTTCCAGTCCATACCCAGTACCTGTGCATGCATCAGTCCACTTACTCCCACAATAACGGCCATATCACCAATACCAGTTTCTATTTTATACATCTGTACTGCCTGCTCTATTTCCTCCACATTAGTAAAGAGACTCTAAATCCCACACTTTTATGGTCATACTTTTTTTGCCCCATCCATACTGGCTGCCTTATTCATGGTCTCTTTTTAATCCTTTATCAATAAGTTTGTGCAAATAATGAAAAATAACTCATTCACTATTTCCAAGTGTGTTTTTTTTTGTTTTGTTTTTAACAAAATGTTATAAACAATGTAAATTGTATTAAAAAAAAAAAAAAAGTTATAAAAATGTGCACCCTCCCAGCAGTCGGCAACAAACTGGGCGCTCTTCCTTACTTGATTTGAGTGCTCGTTCAAAGTTGCAAAGTGGGAGGCAGTGCTTCTATTAGTGTGGCAACTGCCGTACATATCCTGTAAGACCTCAGCGAGTCTCTTTGAGCAGCACTGGTTTGGCCTAGGACATAGTTAGTGAGAATAACCAAAATGTGGAGTGGAACTGTGGGAACCTTATCAGTTCAACTGGAGATAATGAACTTTGCGGGGGTTCACTAGAACATTTTAGTGAAGGGAGAATTCAAGGTTCAAGGTAAAAGTAGCCGAACTGAAAACATTCTCTAAGCCAGTTATATTTAGTTATTTGGGATTTCAAATTCACTTTGAATTCTCACTAGTGAATAAAAATGTAGCTGTTCCTTTAACAGCTCCCCTTGCTGCTTAGTTGTGAATGAAGATGGAGCTTCTAAGTAGTATTTCAGCAGATATTCTGTAAAATAAAATTATACAACAATAGTGCAATACAGTATATAAAATACTTAAAAAGTAAGATAAAAGAGTGGTATCACTCACAAGCCTGGAGTCATACCCTCATATGACTCGGATAGTATGTGCCCAGGGGCGGACTGACCACTCGGGCATATCGGTCCTGGACAGGGCCGAAGGCAGTCAGGGCCAGGCAGCACAATATACATGCTCAGCTGGAAGATCAGATCACAGAGATCTCTCCAACTGGAACAACAAAAATAATAAAATAAAACTATTTAATCGATAGGTTGTGGGGCCCCTGATGCAGCGCGGGGCCCCACAACCTACCGCTCTGCTAGTCACTACCCACCCCCCCCCCATGAGACCTGGCAGCTTCACCTCCTCTCTGCCAGGTCTCCTGCTTCCTCTCCCATGCGGCTCTGTGTGATGGGAGAGGCGGGGCCAGGAAGTGACCTCACTTCCTGTTTACTCCTTTCACACAGAGCCAGGAGGGGAAGGAGCTGCAGCCTGGGAGAGGAAGCAGAGAGACAGGTAGGCACCAATCACCCCCCCCCCCTCACTGTCACCAGTCACCCACCCTCACTGTCACCAATCACCCCCCCTCACTGTCACTAGTCCACCCCCCCCTCATTGTCACCAGTCACCCCCCCTCGTGTCCTGATCCCACCCCCCCCCTCATTGTCACCAGTCACCCCCCTCATTGTCACCAGTCACCCCCCCTCATTGTCACCCAGTCCTTCCCCTCATTGTCACCAGTCACCCCTCATTGTCACCAGTCACCCCCTCATGTCACCCAGTCACCCCCACTGTCACCAATCACTTGCTGTCACTAGTCACCTCCCCTCACTGTCACTAGTCACCCCCCACTGTCACTAGTCACCCCCCCACTGTCACTAGTCACCTCCCCTCACTGTCACTAGTCACCTCCCCACTGTCACTAGTCACCTCCCCCCACTGTCACTAGTCACCCCCCCACTGTCACTAGTCACCCCACTGTCACTAGATGCCCCCCCTCCTGTCATAGTCACCCCCCCTCACTGTCACTAGTCACACCCCCTCACTGTCACTGGTCTCACCCCCCCTCACTGTCCTTTAGTCTCACCCCCCCCTCACTTTGTCACTAGTCTCACCCCCTCACTGTCACTGGTCTCACCCCCCCTCACTGTCTTCAGTCTCCCCCCTCACTGTCACTGTCTCCCCCCCCTCGTCTTCAGTCTCCCCCCTCCTGTCACTAGTCTCCCCCCCCCTCACTTGTCACCTCTCACTCTATCACTAGTCACCCCTCACTGTCACTAGTCACCCCCTCCCTTACTCTGCCACCTGTCACCTCCCTCCCTAGTCATCCCATCCCTTAACTCTCACTTGTCACCCCTCACTCTGTCATCAGTCACCCCTTCCCTCACTCTGTCACTTGTCACCCTC